GAGAGAGAGAGATATAAATATAGAGATAGATATAGATATATAAAGAGATAGAGATACATATAGATATATAGATATAGATGTATATATAGAGAGAGATAGATAGATAGATAAGTAATGTAGGTCACAACATTCCTAGTGCCTCATTGCATCTCTATGTGTAAAACTGTTTGTGTTAATCATTTTAAAATCTTTCAGACTGGATAAGACGGCAGCGATTAATTGTGGTCTTTGCCAAAGCTATTACAGCGTCAGTCAGGTCAGCATTAAATGTCATTTCTTCAAACTGAGGCCACTGGAAGAGCCATCTACAGCAGGTAAGATAATGTTTGTTCATAACCTTTCCACATAATCCCACTTTGATATGTTTGACCTATCTCTTTAAGCTAATTTATGATATTAAACAAGTGAAAAGAAGAAACCTGTACTAAAAGCAAACAAAGCTAAAAGAAGATGGGAAGGTAACAGCTACACAGATGTTAAGTAAAGAAATTCATGATTCAGTGATTTAAAAAAAAAAGTACTTTAAAGAGAATATGTATTCAAGCTGACGTCCACCGTGAAAATACAAGGCATAAACCGTTCGACGTTTAAAGTAAACATTAAAAACAAACTCAGATGGCTCCTGTTCGGTGGTCGTATACAGCAAGACAGCTGAGTCCAAGAATAGCTGCCCTGCGGCGACTCAAGGCGATCCGATGTTCATCTACAAGTACAGATGATGGACGAGGCATGGTAACGTTAGAGGAAGTCACTGCGTTTAAAAAAAAAAAGCTGAATACGCACAAACTTGCATCGTTGGTGGCGAGGAACACAACAGACCTCTCTGGCCTTTAGCATCGTAGGTCAGGCTAGCATGCTAACTGAGACCTGACACGGACGGCCCACACCCGCCGACCGTTCACAGCTGGCACTGTCACGGCACGTGTAAGAAAAATAAACTAACGTGTGCGTCTTACCTTTAACGAGTCAAAGCAGGCGATCACCCTCCCGTTCTCCACCTGGCAGCTCTTGGGCGGGTGGGCGAATTTGCACTCTTCGTCGCTGCGCGAGCAAGTCCCTCTCTGAAACTGCCGGCACACTTCCAGGGTCAGCCATTTTGTGTCCCGCATCGAGGCGATGTTCAGCGCCATGTCGAGGGAGAGGAGCCGCTCGGCTCGGAGAGGACAAGGTCTCTCAGTAAAAGTTTGTCTTTTAATGCGAGATAAAAACTACAACCGGTGGAGCATGGAGCTATAAACACTCGTCTTCAAGGCAAAGGATGAGGTTTGTCCTTGCAGAGAAGAAAGAAGTCTCGGTGACCTGAGCATGAGAATGCACGGCTGCGTCGTTGTGGAGTTTGTCAATTAAACAAATGAGTGCTCATCGATCAGTCAGTCTTGAGTTTGGCTCTCTGGCAAGGAGGAGGGGGCATCACTGAGCTGAACCACCGTCTTCAAAATATCCTTGTTAGGAGCGGGTGGGTGTCCTCATCTGAAGGTGTGATGCCACAGTTTAGCCTTTTTTTTTTACTTTGGCACTTGACCAGCGGTGAAGCAGCGTCACCTTTTTAGCTCAAAGCAAGAAACAGGAAGGGGTGGGGGGGGCTTGTGGTTGACCTTTGACCTGCCACAGCTGCACAGAGGTCAATCTGGAGCTCTTCAGAAACACTCGGGAATCTTCAGGTAGGGATGTCGTCTCAAAAGGCACTTTCCATCAGAGACCTGAAACAAAGAGGAAGGAGAAACAATCGGTGAGCTTCATTAACAACAAGAAGAACGGTTGATAAATATTAAACTTTAAAATGTCGGTTTATGGGTTTCAATCAGGATTTAAGATATGATTAATATACATCCATCCAAAGAGATATGGATGGATGGATGATAAATAGATGATAAATGGATGACTGGTGGATGACTGGTGGATGGATGGATGACAGATGGATAGATGACTGATCGCTAGATGATGGATGGATGGATGATAGATGATTGATAGATGACTGATAGCTAGATGATGGATGGATGGATGGATGGATGGATGATGATTCATAGATGACTGATAGCTAGATGATGGATGGATGGATGATGGATGATTGATAGATGACTGATAGCTAGATGATGGATGGATGGATGATGGATGATTGATAGATGACTGATAGCTAGATGATGGGTGGATGATAGATGACTGATAGCTAGATGATTGATGGATGGATGGATGATGGATGATAGATGACTGATAGCTAGATGATGGGTGGATGGATGATGGATGATAGATGACTGATAGCTAGATGATTGATGGATGGATGGATGATGGATGGATAGAAGGGAGGGTGATGGACGAGACAGATGTGTGTATTTATGCATGCTTGGGGGGCAACAAGCCCACTAGCTATCCAACATATTGCAAACAAATCAGTAAAGACTTGAAGATTATTTCCACAGGACAACAGGACTGAGACAGAAAGTAGAACTAGTAGAAAAAAGAATAAAAGCCTCAGGGTCTGGTCTGAAGAGCCACACATGTTGTCTCGGCACGACCAACAGAAAGAACTGCAGCGCGGCACTAATCTGGGGCTGGGCAGCCGTCCAGCAGCCGGAGAGGGGCCGAGACAGATGTTGCCAGACGTGATTATGACGCCGCTCCGTGTCACAATACTATCTGGTAAGCTCAAATTAGGGACCAGTGGCTCAGTTCCTAGTCCTGTTAACACTCGAGCATCTGATCGCTGAGAACGATGAGACGACTGTTGAAGCAACAATCTGAGGAAGTGACCTTTAGCTTGGGAGAAAGAAATCTATTACCGAGCTACTGCGCAGGGAGCCCTCTTCTTGGAACATCTGGAAATGTTTTCTTGGTAACTGGGGGCGGTGGAGGGGGGCGAGGAGAAGATTGTAAAAATATAAAACTCTGCTTGAAAGATGGTCCTTTTATATTTGTTAAATACCACATTGAACGAAAGCTCTGGCAACTTTTCCAGGCAAAAAACAGTCGTCAACCATTACAGAGCAATGCCTCAGACAAGCAAAGACCTGGTATAACCTTTGACCTTGACCCAAGAGTTGGGGTGATGAAAAGAGAAGGTGACATGTTGTCTAGTTGTGGTAAAAATGTGTATGGCGTTTCGTTAAATTATCTCAAGTTATGGGCGAGACAAAAGTTTACAAACATACGGAGACTTTACCGTAATACGTCCGTCTAAGTATAAGTGCTATGTGTCATTGTATGTTCCCATACAATGACAAAATTGGTTCTCTGCATTTAACCCATCGCACCTGGGATATACCTAGGTGGAGCAGCGGGCAGCTATTGAGTGCCCAGGGAGCAATTAGGGATTAGTTGTCTTGCTCAGAGACACCACGACATGTGGGAATCGAACCCCGACTTTCTAGTCCAAAGTCTACCCCGTCCCGACCCCTACGAGCCAGCCTACGAGGGGTGTATCATGTAAAAAGGAGATGAGTGCATCTCAAACAAACATTTTAGGATTTTAAGAAAAAGTTGTGACGATTCATGAGGTACTCAACCAGTAGAAGTATGTGAATCTCGCAGATTAGCAATAAAGCCAATGCTGTGATTAGAGTCGTGTTTTCCCACAACAGGGTAATAATAATCAGGCGAGTGCCACTCCGTTCTCAAGAGAACGCTGGTTTAAAAAGTAGCGCTTTCAGAGCGAAACGTGCCCAAAGCAAAGTCAAACAGTCTGAAGTTTGTTGAAGATGGTTGTGGAAACGTTTCTCCAGAAAAAAAATAAAAAGATAAAAACAATTACGCTCCAGCATTCTAGTGCAAGAATCTCATCTGTGAACGAGTATGGAGGTGATTTTACTGTGCAATACACAAAACACATTTTAAAAGGGAACATCAAGAAATCTGTCCATGAAGTTTTAGGTGATCGACAACAAAAGGAGCTCATGTTTCACTTGAGAATCGTTGGAGAAGAATAAAGCGGTCCCAACAAACTGAAGCATCAAACGGGTAAATAACCAGAGCCGTCTTTCTTTGACTGGTATCAATGTGAGAATCATATTGTCCCACTTTTCTGCTGATCGTGTGAAACGAGATCAGAAGAGTCTTTGCCCGAACGTCCTGACGGTGGGGCTCTGCTCCCCAAGGCGAGATTCAATTTCCCATCATGTCCCCCGCGGGGAGAACCGATCGCTTCAGTCAGGTAAGAATCGTGTCAGCTCTGACCTTTAACAATTAATCTCGTCTTATTTTTAGAAGGCAGAAGATGGCTGCCATCAAGCTAACCTAGTTTGTCAGGGAGTGAGGAGACGACGGCACCGGGCCGGGAATGATGGTGAAATGCTGAGGTTTAACATCGATACGTCCATCATACATCTCATGTAAATGAAGGTTGTACATCTATAAACACAGGCTGATGGTGTCAGTGAAGGACTGGGTTCAGATGAACGGCTCGAAACAGACTCGGGCTACATTCAGGAAATGTTTGCAGTGGAAGAATCGTCAAAACAAGCGGTGCGGAGTGAAGATCAAAACGAGCCTCTATAGGGGCGGGAGCAAAATAAAATGTCCATGAATGAACATGACCACCGCACTGATAAAAGAAACGAGGAGAATAGAAAAACATGACCGTCATATGCAAACTTTAGTCAGATTTTTGTGCACATAAAACAAGGTCGGAGTCAAATATGCAGCAATTGTATCTACAACCAGGGGCGGAGCCAGGTGGCTCCAATCGTTGTGCAGAAACTACACTTTTAAACAATATAAAAACTAGACAGCCTAGTTTCCTCAAATGATAGGGGTGACTGGTTTACATATGTGTATATATGGTGGTGGCCATCTTGGATTTTGACGTGGCAACCCAAGTTTCAAAAGGAACTTCTCTTATACTAAGAGATCCATCCATCCATTATCTTTACCCGCTTCTTCCTTTAAGCCACATACCAAAATGGAAGTCAGTAGCTCACTTATTTTCCAAGTTATTGCGCTCGCAACATTTACAGACAAACAGAGGGCATTTCCAATTCCCCCTTTTCGCTCCGCGATGGGGGACAAAAAAAAAACTAGTTGAGGTCACAAATATTGATAGTCGTGTCTGATCTGTGCATTCAGCAGAACTTTCAGGACAAAGTTTTTTATAGGAACAAACCACACACTCTTTGATGAGGAGGCGTACCAAATACCAAGGTAACATTTTTCTGAGAGTCCCTTCAACCCTCAAGGATTACGTCATAGAATACCTAATGGCTGTTTCGGATATGTTGAGTCTTTCCAGGGGCAGGAAGCAACATGGCTCCTTAAGCACTCTTTGGCAAGGGACCAATAGTCTCTACTTTGTGACAGAGAACTTTTATTTCTTTAATTACACATAATTATTACCCGGTGAACAATAATGACAGCGTCTGAAATCCTAAAAGGTGTCAAGCATTAGACAAGAGGACTTGAACCGGGAATAAAAGTGGATAGACAGGGTGACCCATGGAAGCAGGACTGAGATGTGAAGAAATGCACCGGGGTACTAGACTGTATGGATTACTGACGCTTACAAAGGCCAGCTGGTGGGGGCATTATCTTGGTCAGTCTGCTTAGCTGAATGAGAGTCAGCAAGACTGGGGTGTCTCGAGTGAAAGTCATTGGCTTGACCTCTGAATACCATGTATGCAGCCCATTAGTCTGGTATCTGTGCAGTCTGGCTGCGCGGCCCGGTTTATCTTCACGGCTTGTATTTGCTCAGCAGACGATAAGCTACCTGCCTTCATGCCAGGAGAGTGTACGCCTTTAAAAACATTTGCCACGGCGTTGGCAAAGTGCTTCCATCAAAAATAAAGAAAACAATGGCTGAGAGGCACAAGCAGGGTTCCTGGAAGGTTTAATTTTAATTTATTATTGTTTTTATGAAGCAAACTGGTTGAACAGTCACTTGCATGGCAAAGAGGAACAAAGGGTCAGGACAGACAGGAAATAGGGAAAATTTCGAGAAGCCTGGCATAGTTGTTCTCATCATTGTCTTAACTCAGAATGATCTAACCAGATGACTGGAAAGAATCGGACGAGGGCCACATCGTGTACTCTGACCCTTCCCAGTCCGCCATGTTCTCTTCACACACATCAATAAACCAAAGGGGTGTTTCAAGAACCACCTCCGGCCTAAGCTACAGATGCTTGAGCCTAATTTTGCCAAGTGTCATTAACAAGGACGGGTGAGGGAGCTGAGCAGAGCCAAACCAGTGCTAAGCTACTGTTGGGAGGCAACACAAGAAGCATTTTACCGAGTCAGCAGGTAGGTGTGCCCCATATTATAATAGCCTTGGCTTAACCGCTGACCCACATAGCACAGAGGACCGGGCTTTC